AAACCCACAAGGGGACGAACCCACTGAAAATGGGGAAAAACCACCAAAAAAGAGGGGAAGAAACTCTAGGGCGGGGGGGATGGGGGATGACACACCCAAAAAGGGGAAAAAAAAGCAAGGAAGGGGGGAAAACCAGCAAAAAAGGGGAAAAAACCACCAAAAAAGGGGGAAAAAGGGAAAGAAAAAGGAAAAGAAACCCACCCAATTAGGGGAAAAAGATGACCAAAAAAGGGAAAAAAGACCACCAAAAAGGGGAGAAAAGCCACCAAAAAGGGAAAAAACGCCAAAAAAACAACCCCAAAAAAGGGGGGGTGAACCAAAAGGGGGAAAAAAAACAAGACAAGGGGGCAAAAGAAATAAAATAAAAAAATAAGGGAGAAAAACTAGCAAAAAAAGGGGAAAAGAAACACCAAAAGAGGGGGAAAAACCACAGAAGAGGGGGAAAAACCACTAAAAAAGGGGGAAATAAACGCTAAAAGGGGAAAATCCACCAAAAAAGGGAAAAAAAAAACCCAAAAAGGGAAACCCCCCCCCCAAAGTTGAAGTTTGGGAATTTTGCTTTATTGATGCGCTTCGTTATGCAAATCAGCTCCGAGCTCAATCGTGACCCTTAATGTGATTAAAACTCTTTGGGGGTGGTGTGAGGTCTGTGTGTGTGTGTGTGTGTGTTGGTTTTGGGTCTTTTTCCCTTCTCATTTTGAGATTTTTCCCCAATTTGGGCTTTTTTTTGGTGGGGGGGGGGAATCCCGAGGAGGAGGAAGAAGCAGCAGCTTTTTTGGGGGGCGAAGAGGTTGGAAAAAAGTCCTTTTTTTTGCTGGTTTCTTCCCACCTCCTGGAACGCTGAGGAGGAGGAGGAGGAGGAGGAGGAGGAGGAGGATGAGCTACGGCTCCGAAGCATGAAATAAAAGCGGGTTTAATTTATTAATTATTTCCAAAAATAGTCAAAATCCTCGCCCCGGCGCCGGGGCTGGAGGCTCCGGGCTCTCCCCTCCCTGGCTCATTCCCAGCTTCTTTGGGAAGCTTGGAAGCCCTGGGGGGGGAGTGGAATCATCCCCCCCAAAACCTCATTAAGTCTCGCTGAGCTTCCCCCTTAATTAATTAGCGAGATCCGCTTTATTAATTAAGGAGATGCCCTTCAAATCCCGCCTCCGTTGGGGGGGAAAAGAGGTTCCGGGAAGAGGATTTTTTTAATTTATCACCTGTGGGTGTTGAATAATTCAAAAAAACACCTTAATGAGTTAGAAAAAACCACCTTAATGAGAAAAAAAAAATTAATGAAATTAATTTCAAGCCTAATTTGGAGGAAAGGGGGCATAAAGACCTCCCCATCCCGGAGCCTTCATCCTCTTCTCTCCCTATTCCTCCTCCTTTTATCCTTAGGGAACGTCGGGAATATCCCACCCTCCTTTTTTTTTTTGGCAAAAATGGCTTTTCTTTTTTTTCCCCCAAATTTTCTTCCTCCCCTTCCTCCACCCGGCTCTTCCCTCCCTTCTCCAGCCTCTGGAAAAGCCTCTGGAATTGTGTGTCCCCCCCCCAACCTCCATCCAGGGAGAGGTTTTGACGTGGGGCCAAGGAGCTGGATGATCCCTTCCAGGGGGGGAAGAACATCCCTCCCCGGGCACCACCCTCTGCTCAATTAATTAAAAAAAAGTTCATTTTTTTTGGCCTTAAAACGCTGGATTTCCTTTTGGTTTGTTTTTTTTAAAAAAAAAAAAAAAGGCTGAAGTTCCTTTTCCAAAATCCTGCCGAATATTAAAGAGAAATAAGAATTTTAAATCGTAAAAAGAATATTCAAGATTGGGAAAAAAAATAAAAAAGTGATAAATAAGCTCCACCTTAAAACAAAATTCCCTTTAAAACGGCCTTAAAAATAATAATAATAATAATAATTTTTTGGGGTCGTTTTTGATGTTCCGGGTGGGTCCCCAACCTGGAAAACGCTCGTTTTTCTGCTCGTATTGGGTTAAAAATTTGAATGTGGGGTTTTTCCCTCCCCCAGCTCCCGAGTTTTGTCCCCTCAATCCCTCCCAGGTGGATTTTTTGGGGGGGTTTCAGCCTTTTTTTTTTTCTAATTGGTTTGATTAAAGCTCATTAAACCCCCCCTTTTTAATTTGGGGGGTTTCATAGAGGGTTTAATTGGCGGAATCACCTCGATTAAACCAAATTGCTTTTTAATTCCTGGGGGGGCTCCTCCCGCTGGAGGTGACACATGATCCCGAGGCTTTTGTCAGCGAAATTTGGGGGTAAAATGTATCGTTTGGGGTTTAATTGTCTCTCCCAGAGAGGCTTTTGTCGGTGAAATTTGGGGGTAAAATGGATCGTTTGGGGTTTAATTGTCTCTCCCAGAGGTGACTTACATGAAAACCTTCTCGTTAATCCGAACCTTTTGGTTAATCCTCTGCCTTTTGTCCTGGATGTAAACAGAGAAGGGGGGGGGAGGGAGGGAGGGAAGGAGCCTTTTTTTAGCCCCGGGACTTGGCTCGGGATGAATTTAACCCCGTAAGGATTTGGCTTCTCTCCCTCCCTCCCTCCCTCCCTCCATCCCTGGTTTTCTTCTCTCCCGGGTGACGGGGACAAAGCCACCGGCGTTGTCCCCGGAGCTCTATCGAGGAGGGGCCCCCCCCCCCCGACGTGTGCCCAGTGTCGGGGAGGGGGGGATGATGGTGGTGGTGGTGATGATGATGATGATGTCGCGTTGGCTTTTGAAGCCCGTCCCCCCGGCAGCGGGGAGCGATATCCCCTTTCACATTCTCCTCCCAAAATAGCTTGGGGCTGAGCCACCGGCCAGAAAAAAACCACACACCATCCCCCCCCCGCCCCCCTCACACACACACGCCTGTTCCTTGTCTCCTGGGGATGTCTTCCCTGGGAACGGGGGTGTCCCGCGACTCCTGGCAGCTCCTCCTCCTCCTCCTCTTCCTCCTGGCAGAGGAGGTGCAGGAGAGACGCGGTGGCTGCCAGTGGCTAAAATTCAGGCTGCTGTGGCAAAGCGTGGGGAGGTCAAGGTCGGGGTGAGGAGGTCGAGGTTGTGTTTGGTTGAGGAGGTCAAGGTGGAGGTTGTGTTGAGGTTGCATTGGGTTGGGGAGGTCGAGGTTGTGTTGTGTTGAGGAGGTCAAGGTGGAGGTTGTGTTGGGTTAAGGAGGTTGGGTTGAGGAGATTGAGGTTGTGTTGAGGTTGCATTGGTTTGAGGAGGTCGAGGTTGTGTTGGGTTGAGGAGGTTGGGTTGAGGAGATTGAGGTTGTGTTGAGGTTGCATTGGTTTGAGGAGGTCGAGGTTGTGTTGGGTTGAGGAGGTTGGGTTGAGGAGATTGAGGTTGTGTTGAGGTTGCATTGGTTTGAGGAGGTCGAGGTTGTGTTGGGTTAAAGAGGTTGGGTTGAGGAGATTGAGGTTGTGTTGAGGTTGCATTGGGTTGAGGAGATTGAGTTGAGGAGGTGGAGGTTGTGTTGAGGTTGCATTGGGGTTGAGGAGGTCAAGGTGGAGGTTGTGTTGGGTTGAGGAGATTGGGTTGAGGAGATTGAGGTTGTGTCGAGGTTGCATTGGGTTGAGGAGGTCGAGGTCAGGTGGAGGAGGTCAAGGTGGAGGTTGTGTTGGATTGAGGAGATTGGGTTGAGGAGATGGAGGTTGTGTTGAGGTTTCATTGGGCTGAGGAGGTCGAGGTTGGGTTGAGGAGGTCAAGGTGGAGGTTGGGTTGAGGAGGTCAAGGTTGTGTTGAGGTTGCATTAGGTTGAGGAGGTCGAGGTCGTGTTGAGGCAGTTGAGGTTGGATTGAGGAGGTCAAGGTTGGTTTGGCTTGAGGAGGTTGAGGTCGAGGTTGGGTTGTTCAGGAGATCAAGGTTGTGTTGGGTTGAGGAGGTCAAGGTTGGGTTGAGGAGGTTTGGGTTTTGTCAAGGTTGTGTTGGGTTGAGGAATTCAAAGTTGAGGAGGTAGAGGTTGGGTTGTTGAGGAGGTTCAAGGTTGAGGTTGGGTGGAGGAGGTTGAGGTAGGGTTCAGGAGGTCTAGGTTGGGTTGTTGGGTTGAATTCAGGAGGTTGAGGTTGAGGAGGTCGGGCTGGGTTGAGGAGGTCAAGATTAGGTTGTTGAGGAGGTCAAGGCTGGGGTTGCATTGAGGAGGTCAGGGTTGGGTGGAGGAGGTTGGGTGGGATTGAGGAGGTCGAGGTTGGGTTGTGTTGAGATTGAAGTTGAGTTGTGGAAGTTGATGTTGGGTTGTTGAGCTGAGATTGAGGTTGGGTTGGGGTTGTAGAGGTTGATGATAGGTGGTTGAGGTTGAGGTTGGGTTGAGGAGATTGAGGTTGGGTTGGGTTGGGTTGTTGAGCTTGATGTTGGGTTGAGCTTGATGTTGGGTTGCTGATGACCATGGGACATGTCCACTTCGCCCAAGCTAATGTGGGGTGGCTCCCTCTTTTCTTCTCTTCTCCTGCCCAGATGACCCAGACCCTGATGATGGATTTAATTATAAACAAATGATGGTGCGAGATGAACGACGCTTCAAGATGGCCGACAAGGATGGGGACTTGACGGCCACCAAGGAAGAGTTCACCGCTTTCCTCCACCCTGAAGAATACGATTACATGAAGGACATCGTCGTGCAGGTGGGTCCTGCTGCCAGGCTGGTGGCCTCCCATCAAACGTGGTCTTCATGGCCAAGAAATGGGTGGAGAAGGTTGGAAATCCAGATGGACCATCCCTGGGAGAGACCTCTCTGCCAGAAGGGGGATGTCCTCCAGCAGATCAGGTGGCTCAGGGTGGAGGAGATGGGTCGTGGAGCATCAAAACATGGCTTTATGGGGGGTTTTTTTGGGTGGAGGTGACATCTGGGTACTTCTGGGGCTGGGAAAGGTGTCCCCATGGGGGGACATTGCTCTGAGCCTGGCCAACCGCTGTCTTCTCCTTGCAGGAGACCATGGAGGACATTGATAAGAACGGGGATGGCTTCATTGACCTGGAGGAGTACATAGGTGAGATGCCAACTCTTGTCTCTGCCACCGTGTCCCCTCCATGTCCCCTGGAACTTTTTGGGATCATCATGGTCCAACCTTTTGGAAGTTCTGGCCTTGGAAGATGATCTTGAAGTTCATGGTTGTTCCCATGGCATGGAGGAACCTTGGGAGGAACATTCCCTTTGGGAATGACCTGGGGCTCATCTGGGACTCTGAAAAGAGCGAGATGGGTCTAAAATCATGGAGTGGGAGGTGGGATGGGACCTTGAGGATCATCTTGTGGTCCAACCTTTGGAAGTTCTGGCCTTGGAAGATGATCTTGGGGTTTCTGGTTGCTCCCGTGGGATGGAGGAACTTTGGGAATGATGTGGGGCTCAGAAAAGGGGGAGATGGGTCTAAAATCATGGAATATGAGGTGGGATGGGATCTTGAGGATCATCACGGTCCAACCTTTGGAAGTTCTGGCCTTGGAAGATGATCTTGGGGTTTCTGGTTGCTCCCGTGGGATGGAGGAACCTCGGGAGGAACATTCCCTTTGGGAATGACCTGGGGCTCATCTGGGACTCTGAAAAGAGAGAGATGGGTCTAAAATCATGGAATGGGAGGTGGGATGGGACCTTGAGGATCATCTTATGGTCCAACCTTTTGGAAGTTCTGGCCTTGGAAGATGATCTTGGGGTTTCTGGTTCCTCCTGTGGGATGGAGGAACTTCAGGAATGATCTGGGGCTCAGAAAAGGGGGAGATAGGTCTAAAATCATGGAATGGGAGGTGGGATGGGACTTTGAGGATCATCACGGTCCAACTTTTGGAATTCTGGCATTGGAAGATGATCTTGGGGTTTCTGGTTGCTCCTGTGGGGTGGAGGAACCTCGGGAGGAACATTCCCTTTGGGAATGACCTGGGGCTCATCTGGGAGTCTGGAAAGAGAGAGATGGGTCTAAAATCATGGACTGATCCTTGCGGATCATCATGGTCCAACCTTTGGAAGTTCTGGCCTTGGAAGATGATCTTGGGGTTTCTGGTTGCTCCTGTGGGGTGGAGGAACCTCATGAGGAACATTCCCTTTGGGAATGACCTGGGGCTCATCTGGGACTCTGGAAAGAGAGAGATGAGTCTAAAATCATGGAGTGGGAGGTGGGATGGGACCTTGAGGATCATCTTGTGGTCCAACCTTTTGGAAGTTCTGGCCTTGGAAGATGATCTTGGGGTTTCTGGTTGCTCCTGTGGGGTGGAGGAACCTCGGGAGGAACATTCCCTTTGGGAATGACCTGGGGCTCATCTGGGACTCTGGAAAAGGAGAGATGGATCTAAAATCATGGAATGGGAGGTGGGATGGGACCTTGAGGATCATCTTGTGGTCCAACCTTTTGGAAGTTCTGGCCTTGGAAGAGGATCTTGGGGTTTCTGGTTGCTCCCATGGGATGGAGGAACTCTGGGAATGATCTGGGGCTCAGAAAAGGGGGAGATGGGTCTAAAATCATGGAATATGAGGTGGGATGGGACCTTGAGGATCATCTTGTGGTCCAACCTTTTGGAAGTTCTGGCCTTGGAAGATGATCTTGGAAGTTCATGGTTGCTCCTGTGGGATGGAGGAACCCTGGGAGGAACATTCCCTTTGGGAATGACCTGGGGCTCATCTGGGAGTCTGGAAAGAGAGAGATGGGTCTAAAATAATGGAATGATCCTTGAGGATCATCATGGTCCAACCTTTGGAAGTTCTGGCCTTGGAAGATGATCTTGGAAGTTCATGGGTGCTCTTGTGGGATGGAGGAACTTCAGGAATGACCCAGGGCTCAGAAAAGGGGGAGATGGGTCTAAAATCATGGAATGGGAGGTGGGATGGGAACCTGAGGATCATCTTGTGGTCCAACCTTTTGGAAGTTCTGGCCTTGGAAGAGGATCTTGGGGTTTCTGGTTGCTCCCATGGGATGGAGGAACTCTGGGAATGATCTGGGGCTCAGAAAAGGGGGAGATGGGTCTAAAATCATGGAATGGGAGGTGGGATGGGATCTTGAGGATCATCATGGTCCAACCTTTTGGAAGTTCTGGCCTTGGAAGATGATCTTGGAAGTTCATGGTTGCTCCTGTGGGATGGAGGAACCCTGGGAGGAACATTCCCTTTGGGAATGACCTGGGGCTCATCTGGGAGTCTGGAAAGAGAGAGATGGGTCTAAAATAATGGAATGATCCTTGAGGATCATCATGGTCCAACCTTTGGAAGTTCTGGCCTTGGAAGATGATCTTGGAAGTTCATGGGTGCTCTTGTGGGATGGAGGAACTTCAGGAATGACCCAGGGCTCAGAAAAGGGGGAGATGGGTCTAAAATCATGGAATGGGAGGTGGGATGGGAACCTGAGGATCATCTTGTGGTCCAACCTTTTGGAAGTTCTGGCCTTGGAAGAGGATCTTGGGGTTTCTGGTTGCTCCCATGGGATGGAGGAACTCTGGGAATGATCTGGGGCTCAGAAAAGGGGGAGATGGGTCTAAAATCATGGAATATGAGGTGGGATGGGACCTTTGGGATCATCATGGTCCAACCTTTGGAAGTTCTGGCCTTGGAAGATGATCTTGGGGTTTCTGGTTGCTCCTGTGGGATGGAGGAACCTTGGGAGGAACATTCCCTTTAGGAATGACCTGGGGCTTATCTGGGACTCTGGAAAGAGTGAGATGGGTCTAAAATCATGGAATGATCCTTGAGGATCATCATGGTCCAACCTTTGGAAGTTCTGGCCTTGGAAGATGATGTTGGGGTTTCTGGTTGCTCCCATGGGATGGAGGAACCTCATGAGGAACATTCCCTTTGGGAACGATCCAAGGCTCATCCCGTGTCTCCATCCTCCTCCTCCTTCTCTCCAGGTGACATGTACAGCCACGACGGTGACGCGGACGAGCCCGAGTGGGTGAAAACGGAACGGGAACAATTTGTGGAATTTCGGGACAAAAACCGAGACGGAAAAATGGACAAAGAAGAAACCAAAGATTGGATCCTCCCGTCGGATTACGACCACGCCGAGGCCGAGGCCCGACACCTCGTCTATGAATCCGACCAAAACAAGGTCTTCGTTAAGCGCTAATTAATTCCCTTGGTGGGTGGAGGTTTTGGGGATCGGAAGGAAAAAACGGGGTGAAATAACGGGAATTTGGGTCTACCCACAGGACGGGAAGTTGAGCCGGGAGGAGATCGTGGAGAAGTACGACCTGTTTGTGGGCAGCCAGGCCACCGACTTCGGGGAGGCCCTGGTGCGACACGACGAGTTTTGAGCCAAAAAACCCATTTTTTGCCCTTTCCTCACCCCAAAAAAAAAAATCGGCGCAAATATAATTTATTTTTTAACCAGTTTTTTGGGTGAGAAAAACCGGGATCGGGGCTTTTTTTTTTCCCCCCCTTCCCGAGATGGTTCTTTCAAGCGACGGAGCGAAAACACATCGTTCCACCCCCCCTTTTTCTGGGTTTTTTCTCTTCTTTTTAGCCTTTTTCTTCCTTTTTCCCCCCAAAAAATTTTTTTGGATTTTTTTTTAGTTTTTTGGGGGTTTTTTTTTAGCTATTTGATGGTTTTAACCATTTCTGGTGATGATTTTGGGGGTTTTTATTATCTATTTGTTTGCGGTCGCCGCCCCCCCACGGAGCCCCCCCC